GATGCGGCCTTTGCCCTGTCAGGCTATCCAGCCGGGGCGGTCATGCAGGCTGCAGCCGGCAACAAGTTGAGGTTCATCGATTTTTCGGACGGTATTCTCGACAAGGCCCTGGAGAAGAACGGAGCCTTCAAGCCTGTTGAAATACCGGCCGATGTTTATGGAACGGCGGAACCGGGGACCGTTATCGGTGTCAACAACATGCTGATCGTACCCAATTCCCTGTCTGCGGATGTCGTTGAGAAGATCGTGACGGCGGTCTTTGACAATCTGGAGGAGTTCCAGGCCGAGAATGCCAATGCCAAGCAGATCGATCCTGCGAATTCGTTGAACCTTGCCATACCGCTCCACGAAGGTGCGGCACGTTACTTCAACAAGTAACCGGAATTCAGCGTGCAAAAATCGCCGCGGGCCCGCAAGAGCGGGCTCGTGAGCTATCATGAGGAAAGGAAAACCGCGTGCAGGAGCGGGAGCCCGGGACATCCCTTCTAGACAAGCAAACCGCGATTCTTGTCGCGGCGTTCTGCCTTGGTCTCTTTCATCTTGCAGCCGTCTCCGGCGTGATCTCGATTTCAACGATGCCATTGCGCCTGGTGCACGTCGCGATGGCATTCTCGCTGCTGTTCGCCCTGAAGCCGAGCTCGAAGCGTCTGGCGGGCACAAAGACAGATCTTGCTCTTACCGGGGTGTTGATCCTTGCCATTCTCGGCGCGAGCCTCTGGCTCATCTCGCGCTGGAAGTCGATTGCCTTCAGCGGCGGGTTGACGACGGATGGGGACTATTATGCCGGTCTTGTCATTCTCATCCTGGTCTTCGAAGCCGCTCGCCGAGGCATTGGGCTGATCCTTGCGATCATCACGCTGGTCTTCTTCTGCTATCCCTTCATCAGTCCCTATCTGCCGGGAATTCTGAATGGGCGCGGCTATAGCCTTGAACGAATGGTGCTTTTCCTGACCACTGATACGCAGGGGGTCTACGGCATCCCGATCGGCGTTGCCGCGACCTATATAATCGTTTTCACGATATTCGGCGCGATGTTGTCCCGGTTCGGAGCCGGTGACTTCTTCTTCGAGATTTCCATTCGCCTGACCCGGGGTTTACGCGCGGCGAGTGCAAAGTCCGCCGTATTGTTTTCAACGCTGATCGGCATGGTGTCCGGATCCGCAGCCGGCAATGTCGCGGTCACGGGCACGGTGACCATTCCCATCATGAAGCGCGAGGGCTATCAGCCTCATCAGGCGGGTGCTATCGAAGCCGTCGCGTCGACCGGCGGGCAGCTGATGCCACCGGTCATGGGTGCTGCGGCATTCATCATGGCCGAGATCGTCGGGGTTCCCTACACCACTGTCATGGCGGTTGCCATTCTGCCGGCGCTGTTGTTCTTCGGCTCTGCCTTTTTCGTTGTGCACCTGCAGGCGGTAAAGTCCGGCATTGAACCGAGGGCAGATGATCAGAGCGACGGGCGGCCGCTTTCCCGGGTGTTGATCCAGGGCGCTCCGTTCATCGGAGCGTTTGCCGTGTTGCTCGCACTGATGCTCTCAGGTTTTTCGCCTTTCAAGGCATCGCTGTGGGGCATGGCGGCGCTGATCGGACTGGACATTGTCAGGTCGCGGCGGATTGACCTGGACCTGATCAGGAAAATCGCGGGCAGCATTGCGGAAGGATCGCGCAATGTCATAACCATTTCGGCGGCCTGCGCGGCGGCAGGTGTCATTTCGGGAACGCTCGGGATTACCGGCCTCGGCTCCAAGATAGCGCTTCTGATTGACGTTGCCTCCAACGGTCAGCTCATCCTGGCACTTCTGTTCACAATGGTTGCGTCGATCATACTGGGGATGGGGCTTCCAACGACGGCGGCCTATCTGATCCTGGCAACGGTGGTCGCCCCGGCGCTGGTCAAATTCGGTGTTCCGATGCTGACGGCCCATTTCTTTGTCTTCTATTACGGCTGCATCTCGACCATTACGCCGCCGGTTGCGCTTGCGTCCTATGTTGCTGGCGGTATTGCCGGAGCCGACGTCAACAAGGTCGGCTGGACGGCAGCTTCCTATGCCACGACGAGTTTCGTCTTGCCCTTTGCCTTTGTCTTCGGACCAGGTCTCCTGATGCAGGGCGATGTTTTCGGCAATCTTCTTGCCGTGATCACCGGTTTTGCCGGTGTCGGGGCTGTTGCTGCCGGTGTGGTCGGTTGTCTCTTTTCGCCGCTTTCGGCGGCAAACCGGGCTGTCGCACTGGGCGCCGGGCTGTGTCTGCTTGCGCAGTTCTGGCCCACCGCACTTGTCGGCGCGGTATTGCTCGGCTGGCTTTTCATCCAGCAGCGGGCTGCCCGGCAAGTTTCCCTGAAATCCTGAAGCAAACGGAATGACCATGGCGAGAGAATTCAGACGCGTTGTCACCGGGCACGACGAAAACGGTGTGGCGATTGTCGAGAGCGACGGTATCGCAACGCACCGCTTGCAGCGAGAGAACAGGCCGGGTGTGACGCTGACCAATTTCTGGTTGTCGGACGGAACACCGGCCGAATATGACGCGGCTACGGAAACCTGCGACGGGCCCTTCACTTTGCATCCACCGGAAAACGGCAGCGTTTTCCGGGTGGTCGAGTTCATGCCGGAGGACCCTGAGGTGATGAAAATGCTCGACGGCAAGGCCGCCTTTGCCGAAATGGGCGCGGGCGACAATATCGTGGAAGATGCGCGTCATCCCTGGATGCACAGGACTGACAGCGTCGATTATGCGGTTGTCCTGACCGGCGAGATCTACATGCTGATGGATGAAGACGATGTTCTGCTCAAGGCGGGCGATGTTGTCATCCAGCGCGGAACAAACCATGCCTGGGCCAACAGGGGCACAGAGCCATGTTCCATTGCCTTCGTGCTCGTGGACGGGGTCACCCGTCGCGGCGCTGCAAAAGAGAATCAAAAGGGTGTTCCGCACCGCTAAAGGCTTTGACGGAAGAAGGAATTTGAAATGCGCGTACTTGGCCTAATCCCGGCATGCCTTGCGATTGCCGCCTCAAGTCTGGCGCTGGCGGAAGCCCCGGACCTCAAAACGCCTGCTCCGGTGATTTATCTCGCCGACAATCTGGACGAGGCCGACCGTCTCGGCTGGTGCATCGATACGCAAGGACGGGGCTTTGGCGAAAATCTTCACGCCCATTCCTGCAAGCCGCAGGGCGGCGATGTCCAGTTTTCCTTTGACGAGAAAACGGGCCAGATCGAATCCGTTGCCTTCGCCGGCAAGTGCATGGAACTGATCGCCCCGGGCGAGAAAATCGCATTTGGACTGAGGGATTGTTCGGACGCGAAAACTCAGGTTTTTGCCTTTGAGCCTGCGAATGGACGCATCGCCCCGGCGAACCAGCCTGACACCTGTGTCGCGGTTGGCGAATCAAGTCGCAGCGCGGGGCCGTTCATGTCACGTGACCTGGTTCTCATGGCCTGCGCTTCGGCGGACCGGGCACTGATCACCTGGCGCGAGAAGCGGTGAGGGGACGTGCCGGGAACGGTCTTTCAAGCGAGATCCAATTTGCCAGCCAAGAGCCGCAAGTGGCGTCATCACAATCGCCAGCCAACTCTCTGATTGGTGCTGAAGTTGCCCCGAAGGCTCCAACTCGGTCAGTCGACCTTCGCCGTGAGGAGCTTGTAGCCTGCGATTGAAAAAAGGCTGCCCAGAATTCCTTGAACCGGGCGGCGTGCTCTTGCATAGATCGAGACCATTTTCTGTGTCGAGAATGCAAGCGTATAGAGGACGTGAACCCCGAGAGAGAGCGATGTCGTTCCGACGATGATGGCGCTAGACACCCACACAGGTGAATTTGCATCCAGACCCAGTGAAACGATGGCAATCCAGCCAAGCGCGGCCTTTGGATTTGTCAGGTTCAACAAGTATCCCTTGCGAAAGTTGCCGGCAAAAGACCGTTTGGCGTGAGACACGGCAGGATCATCCATGTCCATGCTGGACCATGAAGACCTGAACGCCTTGTATGCGAGATAGAACAGATAGCAGCCGCCGGCGATCTTGATGAAAATCAGCAGTTGGCCATAGCTCGCAATGACTGCCGAGAGACCAAGAACGCTGGCCGTGGACCAGGTGAGTGTGCCGGCGGCTACTCCGAGGCTGACTGCCAGACCCGGGCGCCGGCCGGCGGACATCGATGTTCCCATCACCGCGAGGACATTCGGTCCGGGTGTCGCGTTTTGAAGCAGGAAGACACCGTAGATCAAAAGCACGCCCGGCAGATGATTGAAGAGCTCGGTCATTGAGTGTTCGCTTTTCAAAAGAGGGTTGCATTCTGGCAGCAACATTCGGTCATCGCTGCTCGTGCTGGCAAGTGGTCGTTTGCAGAAACATGAAACTGCAACGATCATTGTATCAAATGGCAGCAGGCGGCACTGATACCGGGACGTCAGTGGTCGGCGAGCTGATCACGCAAGCCGACCGTGCGAGGGAAACTTTGCTTTGTGGAAGGCTGTATTGATTGCATATGCCGGTCACATTAACGTTCATGCGGTGAGATTGCCAATTCACTGCTGCAGGACCATTCGATGATACCCGATTCAGTTACGGCCTACCAAATTGCCCAGGACCACTGCGCTGCCTGGACCGACCAGTCTCCCGAAATGGTTGCTGGCCGTTACGCTGAACAAACGACCATGAGCATGAATGGCGGCGATCCAATGACGAGCCGATCCCAGATTGCCGACATGGCGGCGGGATTCATGGCCGACTTTCCAGATCTCGTTCTTGCACTTGATACGGTTCTCGTTGCGGATCGCCACATGATTTATGCCTGGACCTTCGAAGGTCGCCACAAGGGAAGTGGAAACAAAGTCCGTTTCTCCGGATGGGAAGAATGGGATCTCGATGACGATCTCAAGGTGACGAAATCGCTTGGTTGGTATGATGCGGAAGACTACGATCGGCAGGTTGCGGGAACCTGACGGCTGCACGGTCCCGTTCGGTCCACGCCATTTGCGTCGCGGCAGTACGGGGAGAGGTCTTCAGTCAGGTGCTCCGAATTCCAGGCTGTCGGGCAAATAGTTGAAGAGTTCCAGTCGCGGAAGCTTGCCATTTCCCATTCGCAATGCACTCAGGCTGGCCGGAGCGACCGGTATCACGCAGGCAGGAGCAAGGCCGAGGTAGCGTTGCAAGATCGCGCGAATGACGCCGCCATGGCAAACAACGAGCAGGTTCTGGCAGGAATTTCGCAGCTCATCCTCTATGACAGCGCAAACACGGTCTGCGAAAGGGGCCCAGTCCTCGCCTCCAGGCGGCACGAACGTGCCCGCCCGCCATCCAAGATAGGCAGCTTCGTCCTCGGCTCGAATGTCATCGATCGGGCGTCCGGTCCAGTCGCCGACGTCAATTTCCCGCAGATCTTCTGTAAACCTGGGTTTTTCCGCCCCAATTCGCTGAGCCGTCTCACTGACACGCCTGAGATCCGAGGACACCGCACGGCAGTGACCAATGCCTGTGATGACACTCCGCAGAGCATCGGCTTGCGATCTTCCGCGCTCGGACAACCCGATATCGGCCTGTCCCTGAAGACGCCTGGAGGCGTTCCACTCTGATTGTCCGTGTCGAACGAGCAGCAAGCGCATCAGCCAAGCCTCTCGCCAGTGCGGCTAAACCAGCAATCCGGTTCAGGCGGCAGTGAAAACTGGACAGTGTCGCCACTTCGGACAGGCGGCGTACTGTCAACAATGGCGGTCAGGCGCAGACCGTCGCGCAGCCCCGTGACCATGGTGCGCCCGGCAATGGCGCTGGTTTCGACCAGTTCCATCGGCAATGTCACGGCGCTTTCTGTTTCGCTTACGGATATCTTTTCAGCCCGGTACATGGCCAGGCAATCGTCCGAGGGCGGTGACAGCTGCATGGCCCGCCCACCGACCTTGTAGCCGCTGCCATTCTTGACGACAGGGATCATGTTGTTGGGAGGTGTGCCAACAAAGGTCGCGACAAACGCAGTTTCTGGAGCGTTGATCAAATCGGCTGGTGTTCCAAACTGTTGCACCTTGCCGTGGTTCATGACCGCCACATGAGTGGCCATCGTCATGGCCTCAATCTGATCATGGGTGACATAGACTGTTGTTGCACCGGTTGCGCGATGCAGACGCATCAGTTCCGTGCGCATTTCGACCCTAAGCTTGGCATCGAGATTTGAAAGAGGTTCGTCAAACAATAAAACAGACGGTTTGGGAGCAATTGTGCGCGCAATGGCGACCCGCTGTTGCTGACCGCCCGAAATCTCGTTTGGATACCTGTCGGCCAGTTGACTGATCTCAAGCAAGTTCAGAACTTCGTTGATCCGGGCAGCGCGCTCGATCTTCGGCATCTTCATGACCTTCAGCGGCCACTCAACATTGCCGCGCACGGACATGTGCGGCCAAAGTGCATATGACTGGAAAACCAGTCCCGAGTTGCGTTTCGCCGGATCAACGGCCCAGCTCCGGTCGCCGTCCGACACGGTCTCGCCGTCGAATACAATTTGCCCCTCGGACGGCAATTCCAGTCCCGCCAACATGCGAAGCAAGGTTGTTTTGCCGCAACCGGATGGTCCCAGCAAAACAAGGAAAGCGCCATCGGGGACATTGAGAGATACATTTCCAACAGCCTCGAAAGAACCGAAGCGTTTGCACAGGTTGCAAATTTCCAGCATGGGTTACCTTCAGTTTTTCAGCCAGGGCTGCGATCTGGCCTGTAGCCAGTTTGCGATCAGCGAGGCTGCGATAGAGATGAACAGGATGACGACAGTGATCGCGTTGGCAAATTGTCCGAACCCTTCAGACGCATAGCGATAGGCCAGAACGGACAACACCGGCATCGTTGGCGTGAAGAGCAGAACGACCAGCGACAGGTCACGGATAATTTTCACGAAGATCAGAATGCCACCTGCCGTCAGGCCGCGTATCGCGAGCGGTACAGTGATGGCAGACAACCTGCGGGCAAAGCTTGCGCCGGTAAGGCGCGCGCTTTCTTCCAGTTCGCCGCCAACTTGCTGGATGACGGCACGCCCTGTCTGCACAGAAAATGGCAGCAGATACGCAGTCCCTGCGATGACGAGCAGCGCGAAAGTTCCATAGAGCGCCGGAAACGGCCCGATGGGGGCACCCAGATAGGCGATATATGCAGCACCAAATGCGATCCCGGGCACCAGCAGCGGAAGAAAGCTGACTTGTGTGATGACAGCCGACATCCAGCCTTTGCGAAACCGCGCCGTGGTGTAGGACGTCAAGATCCCCACGAACATGCCCGCAAGTGCCACGGCCAGCCCAAGGGCCAAGGTGACGGATAGCGCACGCACGATATCTTCGTTGTGAACAATGCCGGGAATGCCCTGTGCGATTGACTGACTGCTGAGACCGACCCAGTAGTGCAGCGTCCAGTTCGAAAACAGATTTGCGGACGATGGCGCGAAGCTTGAAGCGGACAAAATGACGACCGGCAGAACGGTGGAGCTGACCAGAACCACCATTGCCAATGCGCAGAGCGGCCAACGCGCACCACGCAGGTCCAAACGTTTTGCGCGGCCTCCCTTGCCAGTAATTGTAGCGTAGGACCTGCGCCCCGACACAATCCGGTTCCCTGCCCAGAGGAAGGCTCCGGAAATGAGCACGAGCAGAATGCCGATGACATAACCACGTCCAACTTGGCCGACCTCGATCATGCCGAACAGGCGTGTCGACAAGGTTTGCATTCGAACAGGCAAACCAAGCAGCGCCGGGGTCGCGAAGTTCGAAACCGCACCGGCGAAGCAAAGCGACCCGGCAGCGACCAGGGCAGGTGTCGTGACCGGCAGAATAATGCCCATCAGGATCCGGCCTCCTTTGGCACCTGCAATCTGTGCGGCTTCGACAAGGTCGGAGTTCACGGTGGCAAGTGCTGCGGCGATGATCGTGAACGCAAGGCTGAAATAGTGAAGCGTCAAAACGATCAGTGTCGGCGTTATGCCCCAGGCCAACCAGTCCGGAACATCGAGGCCCATGCCCTGGAGCCAGCCAACCTGACCTCCTACCCGGTCATTGCGGAAGAGCGCCCCCCAGGCCAGAGCCGCCGCGAAGGACGGAATCATGAACGGCAGCGTGGCCATGACGCCGATCGTCTTGCGGAACGGCACGTTGGTCATGACGACGAGCCAGGCAAGAAAACCGCCGAGAAATACACACCCCGTTGCCACCACAACGCCGATCAGAAGCGTGTTGCCGAGTGGTTTGTAGAACAGGTTGGTCGACAGGCGTCCCGTCAGTACGTCCGACCACGCCTTGATGGTGTCAGGCTGCAATGTGAACAGGACTGTTCTGAGAAGCGGCAAAACGATCAGTGCGATCAGCAGTGCCAGCACGACCGTTTTCAGCACCGATCCGTGCTTGAAAAGCACACGTCTTCCTTGCCTGTTCATGGTGACATCCACCATCAACGTCATCCTTGTTGGTCTTTTCAGGGTAGACAGGAAACAGGCGTATGGCCACGCCTGCTCCTGGTGGGAGTTTTACTGCAGTGTCAGGATCAGGTCTCCGATCTCGGATCTGATCTTGGCGGTCTCATGCGGCGCAATCCGCCAAGCAGTGAAATCGTTCAGTGATACGGCGTCGGGGTGAGGCGGTATATCAGTGCGGGTCACATAATCGCCGGCAACATAAAACGGTGCGAGGCCTGCACCACCGGTTTCACTTTCATCTCCCATCAGGAAGTCGATCACGAGCCGAGCTGCAGCAGGGTTGTTAGGCTCTGCGGCCAGAGCAAGCACTGCCGGAAAGATGATACCCGGTGCAGGCTTGACGCTGTTGGCCACCTGAAGGGCCCAGCCTTCTTCCTCGTTGTCCCGGCGGTCGGAATAGCTGGTAAAACCCACCGGCGGGCTTTCCTGACCCTTTGCGCCCACGGCGACATTCACATCATCGGTGGAGCCGACAAGGATCACATCATTTGCAAACAGATCCATGATGAATTTTTCACCGGCATTGGCAGCATCTCCCAGCTCGATTGCTTTTCCGAACTGGTCTTCATAGGCAGCGGCCATAGCGTCGGAACGCAAAACGATTTCTGTCATCAGATCGAGGTAGTCGCCTCTTTGCAAGGGATCGACCATGACCACACGACCGCGCCAGTCACCGGTTGTCAGTTGCCACAGGTTTGTGACCGGTGCACCGTCCGGATTGGCTTCTTCGTTGTACATCAGCACTTTGGTTGACAAACGTTGCGCCAACAACGGCGATTGATATTCCGAGGGAACACGGTCGGCTATGCGTGGCGGCACGAAGGGCGCGATGATGCCGGTCTCAAGAAGCTCCGTCAGCACGACAGGTGTATCCGAGATATAGATAACGTCGGCGTTGGTGACACCGGCCTGCGATTCCGCCTGGAGACGTGCGATCTGTTCCGTTGACGAAATGTCGAAACCTTGCAGGTCGATATCTGGATAGGCCTCTTCAAACGCGGCCTCTACCTTACCTATCCGGCTGGTGAAGGAATAGACGGTCACCTTGCCTTCAGCCTGGGCAAGTGGAAGCAATTCCTCAGGTCCCATTTCGTTCAGATGCCCGTCAGCCAAGGCGGCCGAAGACAAAAACATTCCGATCACGCCGAGGCGTGTTGCTTCGAGAACATTCATGTGTTCCTCCCTAAGGGTTTCTTTTGTTATTCAAAACGCTCGATCAGCTGCCCCAGTCGATCGAGTTTTTTCAGCGACTCCTCTTTCGCTGTCAGTCCGGCCGCGATGACGATGGCGTTGCAGATTGTCATCGGTACGGTCAGGGTCTGGAAGGCATCCTGATCACCTGATCGTGGTGCGGCCAAAAGGCGGTCGGGGCGCGGCGTCAGCAATGCGCCCGACTTGCCGGCAATCATGACGGTTCTTGCACCCACTTCTTTTGCGGTTTCCATCAATGCAGCATACCCGCGAGGCGGGCGACGAAAGGCAAAGCTCAAAACAGCGTCGTCTGAATCGAGACCCAGCATCTGTTCGGCCAGGCCGCGCGGGTCTGTGCCGAGCTGGTGGGTATCTTTGCCGAAGCGGCGGAACCGTTTGACCATCAGGAGCGCGAGCACTTCCGCATTGCCATACCCGTAGACAAAGATCCGTCTCGCTCTCATCAAAATCTGTGCCGCCTCCGAGATCTGCTCCGGCGTTATGAATTCTTCGATCCGTCCGAGCGCCTGCGTTTCTTCCCTGGCCAATTCGCCAAGGATCGTATCGGATGTGCTTTCCGCGATGGTTTTTTCAAACCGGGTAGCGGTTTCGCGCGTCGCGATGAATTCGTCGCGCAATGCGTCCCGGAAGGCGGCGTAACTTACAAACCCCAGTTTTTTGGCAAGTCGTGATGCTGTTGCTTCGTGAACGCCTGCAGCCCGAGCCAACTCACCGGCGGTGCCGAGCGCTGCGGATGTCGGGCTGTCGATCACGTTCTCAACCAGCCTGCGCTCACCGGGAGTGAGTGTGGTTGCCTGGTCTGAAATTTTCTCAAGGAGCGACATGATCATCCTTCATCGTTATGCAAGTAAAATTGCATGATTCAAATAAAATTGCAATTTTTCTTGCAAATAAATTCATCTGTCCGTTACCGAAGGTCTGGACGTCCGGCATCTCTTGATTGCCGATGCACCGTGGGTTGCTCTATCTGGTCGCGATCATCGGCTGGTTCATTTGCCAGGTGTTGGCATGGCGCATCTCGAACACTCTGGAAGCCGATTTCTGCGTGGAGGTGATGAATGAAGCGCCCCAAAAAATCGGCACGCCAGACATCATGAATATGAATCAGGGGTCGCAGTTCACCTCGTTTGCATGGACGGACCGGTAGCAGAGGGTGGGCGTTCGCATCTCACCTCTCGTGCAAGCAAACTTGCACTGCCAGGTTTTAAATGGATGGCAAGGGAGGATTTTTCGACAATATCTTTGTCGAATGGCAGTGGCGTATCCTGAAATTGGAGTGCGCCTATCTGTAAACCGGCGAATCTGGCTCCCAGGCCAACGCCCGTGTTAGAAAGTGGGTGGATTTTAAACCGAAATTGCCTGCACTCAACCTTTCGCGGCAAACCGGCTGCCGTGGTCCAAGGGCAGGCAATCGACACAAACCAACCCGATCAGAAGGTGCAGAGAAAAGCTTAACCTAGGCCGGAAACTGACCAATGATCGGGGAGTAAATCAGTCGTCTGCATGCCAACTTGTGCCGGCGTTCGAGTCAGTGTCTCAGTTTGGCAGCAGGAATCGATGGTTGAGTACAATTCTTTTCGACTACGTGGTCTCACCAAAGAGAATTTCTGTGTCCAACTTTTCGATGAGCTTTTCGGCCGGGGTATCCAGCGGGGTCGAGATCCATTCAGCCGCCGAGACTCCGATCTCATAGCGCGGCGTTTGAGTTGTTGTGATTTTCATTGGCAACGCCGACAGGAAACCGAGTCCGTTGAAGCCGGCGATTGCAACCTGTCCGGGGACATCGACACCGTGCGACAGGCAATGCATTAGTCCGCCGGCGGCAAGATCGTCGTTGGCGTAGTATATGGCGTCGGGTCGATCGGGATGTGCGAGCACCTCCATGGTCAATTGCCTGCCTGCGACCATGGAAGAGGGCTCGTTTGACATGCGTTGCGCGATCAGTTGTCCGCCCGCGTCACGTACCCGGGAAGCAAATGCCTCGAACCGCTTCGTCGCACGTAGGTCGTGTCCGCCCTGGCTGGCGATATACCCGAAGGTTCTGTAACCGCGCTCAAGCAGGTGTGTTGCCATTTCTCGGCCAGCATCGACGTGCGAGACGCCAAAGCTTGCGGTCATGGGCTCGCCGTCGACGTCCATGATTTCCGCAACCCGGACACCCGTCTGCTCGACAATGCGCCGAACGGATTCGTTGTGTTCCAGTCCGGGTAAAATCAGTCCGCGCGGGCGCCAGGAAAGGAGGTCGAACACGAGTTCTTCTTCGGCTGACTGGGAATATTCCGAAACGCCGAAGACCGGGCGCAGACCGGCTGTGTTGAGGGTTTCGTTTATTCCAGAAAGGACTTCCGTGAACACCCGGTTCTGCAGCGTCGGCAGCACAACACCGACAAGCGGATTGTCGTAGGAGGAGATTCCTCCGGCAAGGCGATTGTGCACGTAGCCGATTTCACGCGCAGCATTGTTCACCTGTTCGCGCACTGTCCGCGAAATGTAGCCGGCACCCCGCATGACCCGTGACACAGTCATCTGACTGACACCTGCAACACGGGCGACATCGTGCATCGTAGGCTGGTTCTTGTTGGCTTTGCTGTTCCGTCTGGTCGACATCGAAAGTCTTGGAATTCAACGCGGTTCATTTTTTTCTTGACGAATGTTTACATAAACATAATAGATATATCAATGTGTGTTTACGTAAACACATTGGAGTTGCAGGCAAGCAATTCGGCCTTTTGGTCATTCAGGGAGGATATGATGAAGAACTTGCTTTTGAGCGCGACCATGTTGGTGGCAAGCGCCGGTGTGGCATTTGGAGACACCTATCGGCCAGAGTGCTTTGTTCCGGCGCCCGAGACGTCCACGATCTCATATGATGCGAAGGACGGCCCTTACAAACTAGCGTTTGTGAACGGCTTTGCCGGCAACGACTGGCGCATCCAGGCAATTCAGTCCGCGAAGGCATGGGCTGCACGCCCAGAGAATGCAGGCAAGGTCGATACGTTCTCCATTGTGTCGGTTGGAAACGACAGTGCAGCCCAGATTGCGGCAATCGACAATTTCATTGCCGCAGGTTATGACGCGATAACCTTCATCGCGGTCAATCCGACGGCATTCGAGCCGGTCATCCGGCGTGCCGAGCGCGCCGGTACTATTCTTGTTCCCTTCGATAATGTTCTCGACACCGACAAAGTCGTCCAGGTCAACGAAAGCCAGAAGGAACTTGGCGCGTTGAAGGCGCAGACAGTGATGGATATTTTGGGCGGCAACGCCAAAAAGGTCCTGATGGTCAACGGATTGCCTGGCAACGCGACAGATCGTGACCGCCGCCTCGGCATGATGAGCGTGCTGGAACAGGTTGACGGACTGGAAATCGTTGAAGTCGTCGGAAACTGGGACACTGGCACCAGCCAGAAAGTGGTGGGTGATGCCCTTGCCACACATGGTGAGTTCGACGCGGTTGTGTCGCAGCACGGTTCGGCGGGAACGATCAATGCCATGCAGTCGGCAGGGCATCCTATTGTGCCCATGGGTGTCGATGGTGAAAACGGTGTTCGCATTCTGATGGATGAACTCGACATACCGGGTGTCTCGGCCAGCCAGGCACCTGCAATGTCTGCGATTGCACTTGAAGCGGCCGTCGCCTTGCTTGAAGGCAATGAGTTGCCACAAACCATTTACCTGCCAATTCCGCAGGTCAAGGCTGAAGGCCTGGAGGCCGGGGTGAATTACTTCCCCGATCTTCCGAAGTCCTTCAACACGGGCACAGGCTTTGCCGAATGCTTTGCACCCTTTACGCCTGAGGAAATCACAGGCCAGGATCCAGACAACACATAATACCAACAGTCCGGCGGCGTTTTCAAAATGCCGCCGGAAAAAAGTGGAAACGCCCGATGAACCAACATGATGTGCCCCTGTTGCAAATGCGGGACATTTCAATGCACTTTGGCGCGACCAAAGCACTTGAAGACGTCGACTTCGCCTGCAGATCGCACGAGATCCACGCTGTTCTAGGTGAAAATGGTGCCGGCAAGTCAACGCTCATGAAGCTGATAGCCGGCGTTCTTCAGCCGACCGGCGGGCGGATAATTCTGGACGATACGGACGTCAAGCTTGCAACACCGCGCACCGCTCAGGATCTCGGACTGGTCTGCATGTTTCAGGAACTTTCCCTGGTGCCTGACCTGACTGTGCGTGAGAACCTGCTTCTTGGCGCACCCGGCAGCGGTCTTGGATGGCTCAGGTCGGAAGCATTGGCAAAGGCACAGGATGTACTGACTCGCATCGATGGCGGGCACATCAAGATGTCCACGCGGGTCTCCGATCTTTCGCTGCCGTCGCGCCAGCAGGTCGAGATCGCCAAGGCGCTGATGCGTGCTCCAAGACTTCTTATTCTTGACGAAGCGACATCCGCTCTCAATGCCTCGGTGGTGGCCAAGGTCTTTGACCTGATCCGTGCGGAAAGGGATCAGGGCACGAGTGTCTTGTTCATCTCGCACAGGTTTCACGAAATCGAAGCTTTGGCCGACAGGATTTCAGTCTTCCGCAATGGCAGCCGCGTCGCCACCTTTGACCAGGGCGCACATTCCTACGATGAGATTATCAACATGATGGTAGGGCAGAAGATCGGGGAGTTGTTTCCGCCCAAGCCACCGGTCTCAGCGACCGGAAAGGAAGTCCTGAAGGTTGAAAACTTTTCATGGGAGGGACGCTTTGCTGACGTTAGCCTGAGCGTACGCGAAGGCCAGATCGTGGGACTCGGTGGCCTGGACGGACAGGGGCAGGGGGCTTTTCTGATGGGTCTCTTCGGCCTGTTGCGGCGTGCTGAAGGAAGAATATCGGTCTCGGGAAAACCTGTTTCGTACTCAAGTCCGAAGGCGGCCAAGCAGCCTGACATTGCTCTGGCGTTCATTCCCGAAGATCGCAAAACCGAGGGTCTGATCCAGGAGCAGAGCATCTTGGAAAACCTGCAACTCGCCGCACTCGGACTTAAGGACCTCGATGCGTCCGATCCAGAGCTTTACACGAGCACTCTCGACCGGCTTGAACTGAAGCATGGCGGCCTGGAGCTGCCGGTGTCGTCACTGTCGGGTGGTAACCAGCAGAAGGTTGTTCTGGCGAAATGGCTTGCGATCAAGCCACGCTGCCTTTTGCTTGCAGATCCGACCCGCGGCATAGACGTGAAGACCAAGACCCAGATCTACCAGATGCTGCGTCGCCTTGCCGATGAAGGCACAGCCATTTTGCTCCTCAGCACGGACTACGAAGAACTGATCCAACTGTGCGATGAAACCCATATCTTCTATGCCGGTCGTCTGGCGGCTTCCATGAGTGGAGACAACATGACCGCGCAGAACATCATTGCCGCATCACTGAACGTCACTGAAGAACGCAAGGTGGTTCATGCTTGATTACATTCGCTCAAACAGGCGCGAAGTCATTGCCGCAATTGTCTTGCTGGTGCTTCTTTCTCTTTATCTGGGAACGCACCCGCGCGGGGCATCCACCTACGTTTTGACAATTTGGGCCAACCAATGTCTCATCCTCGGTTTGGCGGCCATCGCACAGTTCTTTGCCGTTGTTGTGCGCGGTATCGACTTGTCTGTCGGTGCCGTCATGGCCCTGACCAACGCCCTGGCGTCACACTTGCTGGACGGCTCGGCTATCGGGATCGGTTTCGGCATTGTCGCCGTCTTGGCCGCCGGCGCGGCCTGCGGCCTCGTGAATGGGCTCGTTGTTGTCTACGGCCGCATTCAACCGATCGTCGTTACGTTGGCGACGGCGTCGATTTTCATTGGTGTCGCGCTGATGCTTCGGCCGACCCCGGGCGGTGCGATCAACTACGATCTTGCGGACGCGGTTACGCTGGATGTTTTCGGCGTGCCGACGGCGCTGGTTCTCTCCGGCTTGCTGATCTTCGCGTTCTGGATACCGTTCCGGCGAACAGGACTGGGGTTGGGACTTTATGCGTTGGGATCTTCCGAGCAGGCAGCTTTCCAGTCGGGCATGGACACACGGCTGATCCGCATCGCCGCATTCACGCTGGCCGGTCTTTTCGGCGGGGTGGCCGGCCTGTACTACAGCTTCGTTACCACCACCGGAGATGCCGGAATAGCGGCGAATTTCACGTTGAATTCAATCGCGGCGGTTGTTCTGGGCGGCGTTCTGCTTCGTGGCGGCGTCGGGTCGCTCGTCGGTGCAATGGCCGGGGCCTTCATTCTCAAGACCATCGCTTCGCTCATGTTCTTTTCAGGCATTCCCTCGCTTGCGCAACCCCTGTTTGAAGGCCTGATCCTGGCAGCTGCAATCGCAGTGGGTGGCGCAGACGTGCTGCGGGCACGCAACAGACTTGAGGTGTTCGGCCGATGAACCGCGCAATCACACCTGACAGTCTGATGCCGTATATCGGCACCGCCTTGCTCATAATCGCGGGAAGCTTCTTCTTCCCGCAAATCCTGACCTTCGACTATCTGACACAGCAGCTTCAGATCGCGGCATTTCTTGGTCTTCTGGCAACGGGAGCAACGATTGTCATTCTGTTGGGCCACATCGATCTCTCGGTGCCCTGGGTCCTGACCGGTGCCGCCATTCTGTCGACGGCGTTGGTCGGTTCCGGTGATCCGCTGCTGACGGCTCTGGCTGTCCCTGCCGCGCTGGCGTTCGGAGCCCTGATCGGCATCGTGAATGGAATTGGAGTCGCGGTCCTCCGTATTCCCTCAATGGTATGGACGCTTGCCATCAATTCGATCCTGTTGGGGCTCGCGGTTCTCAACACTGGTGGGTTCAACCCGAAAGGGGAAGCGAGTCCGCTCATGGTTTCCATGGCATCAGGACGTGTTCTCGGCCTGCCCATGAGCTTTCTTATCTGGATGGCTGTCTGCGCCGTTATCACGCTGTTTTTGACCAGGACGCCATTTGGACGCTATTTGCGGTCGATCGGTTACAACGAGAAGGCAACGTTTCTGTCTGGTGTCTCTACACCAAGTGTTGTCTTTGCCGCATTTGCGCTGGCGGGCATGTGTTCCGCGATGGGCGGCGTATTGCTGGCCGGTTATGCAAACCAAGCCTACCAGTCCATGGGAGATCCGTTTCTCCTGCCGACCATTGCGGCAGTCGTTATCGGGGGAACATCCATTCTGGGGGGACGGGGCGGACTGTTCGGAACTGTCGGCGGTGCCCTGTTTATCACGCTTCTGACCTCGATACTCTCTGTGATGCAGATCGGCGACGCCTGGAAAAGCATTGTTTTCGGCGTCATCATTCTTGCTATGCTTTTGTTCCAGACCATGCGGAAAGGAGCACACGCATGACGCCCCGCTACATAACGGTTGATCCGCTCTTTGAAGAATTCGTCGATACGTCAATTGCTCCCGAAGTCATCGCCAGGGATTGTATCTGGACGGAAGGCCCGGTCTGGTTGAACGGCGGGCTGTTCTTCAACGACATTCCCAACAAGCGGATGTTGCGGTGGAGCGAACGGGATGGAGTGTCGATCGCACTCATCAACAGTGAGTTCGCAAATGGCAACACGCTTGATCTGACAGGCAGGATGGTGTCCTGCGAGCATGGCGGGCGACGGGTTGTCCGGCGGCAAGATCCGTTTGACTTGACCGCTGTGGAGACAATCGTCGACAAATTCGAAGGCAAACGATTGAATTCCCCCAACGATGTCGTGGTCCGCTCGGACGGATCGGTCTGGTTTACCGATCCACCCTACGGCATCAACTCCGACGTTGAAGGCTACCTGGCTGAGAGTGAACTTGACGGTTGCTATATCTACAGCGTGTCGGTGGACGGGGAAATACGTGCTGTCGCAACGGATTTCGACAAGCCGAATGGCCTGGCTTTTTCGCCGGATGAGACCAAACTCTACATTGCCGATTCCGGTGCCATTCGCGGTGCAAGCTTTCCCGGCATTGACTACAACCTTCCCCACCATATCAGGGTTTTCGAAGTCGATGGCACAACGTTGAAAAACGGACGTGTTTTTGCCGTCGTTGCACCCGGCATTCCTGACGGATTTCGCGTTGACCAACAGGGCTATGTCTGGACCTCGGCTCTTGACGGTATTCACTGCCTTTCGCCGGAAGGAGCTCTTGTCGGCAAGATCTTGCTGCCTGCACAGACTTCCAATGTCTGTTTCGGTGGGGAAAGCGGAAAGACGATGTTCATTACGTCCTCCGACAAGGTCTACCGGGTTCATAGTAACTGCAGGGATGCCGCTCAAGCGCTTCGCGAAACAAAGGGGGGAGCCGAATGACCGGCCCTGTGAAAATTGCCGTCGTCGGTCTCGGGTCCATGGGATTTGGTATGGCGCAGTCATGCATTCGCAGCGGCTACGAAGTTTTCGGGGAGGACATCGTTTCCGAGCGCATGGATTGTTTCCGGAGAGAGGGCGGTGCGGACGATGCGGTCGAAACGGTAGCCGCCATGCTCGATGTGGTCGTGGCCGTTGTGCTCAACGCCGAGCAGATCGAGACCATCCTGTTTGGAGACGCTGGTCTTGTTCCTAAACTCAGGCCGGGAGCTGTGGTGGTGGCATGCGCGACCGTGCCTCCGGAATTTGCCAGGACGATGGAGGCGCGTTGCCAGTCGCATGGCGTTCATTATCTCGACGCACCTGTGTCTGGTGGATCAGTGAAGGCAGGAGAGGGTAAACTCTCAATAATGGCCGCCGGGACACCAGAAGCCTTTGCGGCTGCCAAGCCGGTTCTGGATGCCACTGCAGAAACCGTTTTCCAACTGGGAGACAGGGCTGGTGCAGGATCGGCGATGAAAGCGGTCAATCAGCTTCTTGCGGGTGTGCACATCGCGGCAATGGCAGAAGCAATGACGTTCGGCATGACGCAGGGCATCAACCCGCAGAAGTTCATCGACGTCATCAGCAGATGTGCCGGAACGAGCTGGATGCTTGAAAACCGTGCTCCACATGTTGCTGCCGGGGACTACACGCCGCACAGCCAGGTTGTCATCTGGCCGAAGGACCTTGGCATTGTTCTGGAAACAGCAAAAAAGTCCGGTCTAGAAACGCCGATTACGGAAGCGGCCCTTCGTCAGTACACCACCGCGGTTGAAATGGGGCTGGGTCACGAGGACGATGCCGCCGTCACAAAGGTATATGCCCGCAGCGCCGGTTTGCAGCTACCGGGGGAAAGCTGATGCGGCTGGGGTGCATAGGAGACGACTTTACAGGGTCAAGCGATCTGGCCAATACGCTGGCAAAACAGGGTATGCGCGTAACGCAGTATTCCGGGACGCCGGGTTTCGATGCGGCCCGAACCGTTGATGCCGGGGTCGTAGCGCTCAAAAGCCGATCGGTCGATCCCAGGGAAGCCGTTTCATTATCGCTTGAAGCACTGGATTGGTTGAAAACCCAAGGGTGCGAGCAGTTTTTCTTCAAATACTGCTCGACTTTCGATTCCACGCCTATAGGGAACATCGGCCCCGTGGCAGAAGCGCTCGCAGATGCCCTTGGCGCCAAGAAAGTCATTGTCTGTCCGGCATTTCCAGGAACCGGCCGTTCTGTCTATCAGGGGCATCTGTTCGTAAAGGACTCTCTGTTGAGCGAATCCGGCATGGAGTCGCATCCGCTCACGCCGATGACCGACTCAGACATCCGGCGTTGGCTGGCACGGCAGACCAATCTTGGCGTTGGGCATGTGGCCGCGAGCTCTGTGTTTGATGGTGTGGACGCAATTCGAGAGGCCCTTGATAAGGAGCAATCCAACGGAAAGCGGCTGATTGTGATCGATGCCATCAGAGACGAGGACCTGCTTGCGATCGGGCGGGCTGCACGGGGATTGCCGCTTGTCACGGGAGGGTCCGGTGTTGCTCTTGGTTTGCCGGCAAATTTTGGTTGCACGCCCTCCAGGGTCCCCTGGACTGGGCAACAAGGCAGAGCCGTTATCTTGTCCGGTTCATGCTCCACCGCGACACGCAGGCAAGTCGCCGTTCATAGCGCCCGTTATCCAGCATTTGAGATTGAGGCCGCCGACGTTGTGGAAGGCCGCCTGGTGCCGGCTGTGGCAGCCGAGTGGCTTCTCAACACCGCGGGCCTCCCTCTGGTTTATAGTTCCGCAGATCCGGCCGAAGTTGCGAAAGTGCAGGCAAAACATGGCCGGGAGCGAACGGCAAATGCCTTGGAGAATTTTTTTGCGGAAACCGCGCGGCGTGCACACGAAGGTGGTGTGACCCGGATCATCACCGCTGGCGGCGAAACATCCGGAGCTGTCGTTGAAGGTCTTGGATTGGAAACGCTGGAAATCGGTCCGGAAATCGATCCCGGTGTTCCGGCGCTCAGAGCTGGCCCAGACCTTGTCGTCGCATTGAAATCCGGAAATTTCGGAGCCGATGATTTTTTCGAAAAAGCAGACCGGGTTCTTCAAGGATGAATGAAGCGGCCTTACGGGACCAGATCTGTCTGCTTGCACGGTCGCTTTTCGAACGCGGGCTAACGCACGGGTCCACGGGCAACATCTCGGCACGCACGGAAGACGGAGGGCTTCTGGTCTCGCCGACGGGCACGAGTTTCGGCCGTCTTGACCCGGGCAGGCTCAGTAAGTTCGATCACCAGGGACAACATATCGGAGGCGACAAGCCGACGAAGGAAATGCCATTGCATAAGGCGTTCTACGACACCCGTTCAACGGCGGGTGCCGTTGTTCATCTGCATTCGTGTCATTCGGTGGCTCTTTCCATGCTTCCGGACGTCGACCCTGACAGCTTTCTGCCGCCCTTGACGGCATATGGCATCATGCTGCTTGGAAAGGTGAAGCTTTTGCCGGTTTTTGTGCCGGGAGACCCGGCAATGGGAACAGCCATCCGAGGACTGGAAGGCAAAAGAAGTGCGGTGATGCTGGCCAATCATGGCCCCGTTGTCGCCGGCAAGGATGTTGAAGCTGCCTGCAACGCAATCGAAGAACTTGAGGCAACCGCACGTTTGGCACTATTGCTCCGTGGCTCGGGCGTTCTGGAACTCAATGCAGAACAGGTTCAGGCAGTTGTCTCAAAGTTCGATGTGGAGTGGGATGATTGACCAGGTTTTCCGCCAATCTCGGGTTCTTGTGGAATGATCTGCCTCTGCCCGAAGCGATCAGGGCGGCCAAGGCTTCCGGCTTCCATGCCGTTGAGTGCCATTGGCCATATGAAACAGATGCATCAGAGATAAAGGCTGCGCTCGAGGACACCGGTCTGACCATGCTTGGACTGAACACGTTGCGCGGTGATGTTTCTGCTGGAGAAAACGGCTTGTCGGCGCTTCCGGGCCGTCAGGCCGAAGCACGCGCAGCAATAGACCTGGCTATCGAATACGCCGATGCTGTCGATGCGGCGGCCATCCATGTGATGGCGGGAAAGGCGACAGGCTCAAAGGCGCACGCGGTCTTTCTCGAAAATCTGGCATATGCAGCCGATCGAACCCGGCGGATCATTCTGATTGAACCGCTCAACCGACATGATGCACCCGGCTACTTCCTCGAGACGACGACGCAGGCAAGCGGCATCATTGCCGAGCTCGCGATTTCGAACCTCAAACTCATGTTTGACTGCTACCATGTTGGTCGTTCAGAGGGCGATGTCATAACCCGCCTGACAGACCTTTTTTTGATTGTAGGCCACATTCAAATCGCTTCCGTTCCTTACCGGAGGCAGCCAGACCATGGCGAACTGCACTACCCGTCGATTTTTTCGGCAATTTCTGAACTGGGTTGGCGACGCCCGATTGGGGCAGAATACAAACCTGATGGCCCGACCGAGGGCAGTCTCGGTTGGATGCATCAATACGCAAGGTAGTTTATGTGTTGCCGGAACCATTCCGGAATGGGGCTCACAGGTAGTGTTTTGAGGGACACCAGACCACTGGGTCAGGCGTTCAGCAGATGCTACCAATTGATGCCGAAATCGGGTGAGTGCTTTGTATCCACCGGCTTTGGAAAGCCTGGCTGGCGGTTGGTTCTGCGGCAACTCTTCCAGGAAGGCCTGGACGACACTTCTCCCGGTACGTTGTCGCGTTGCAGCTGTGCATGACGATGACGGCTGGTGATGTCACCGACACTGGAATTGGTCCTTGAAGCCTTTGGCTGCGATCAGGTAGCCGTTCGGCGCAAACCCCGCCTGCAGTTCGACAATTGTGCGAGTTGCATCTCTGGTGAACTTGCTGACTGGCTCGGCGACCAAGGCATGGATCATGTTCGTGGTGCGCCCTGACATTGGCAAAAACAGGGAAAATTGAACGCTGGCATCAAACCTTGAAGAACCTCATGTTCTTGGAAAACAAATTCTTGCCGGGGGCTCTTGACGGCAGCATCGAACGCTTTGTCAGCCAGTACGATCATCGCCGCAATCTGCTGATCGGCAGGCGTTGCCTGCAACGCCGAGAGGCACAAGAGCCTCGGCGACCTGATGCCTGCCGATATCTGCTTCGGGCGTGGTGAAACCATCTTGCTCGAGCGTGAAACAATCAAACGAAACACAATCAATCAACGGCACTGGCAATGCCGCAATCAGGCGGCTAAAAATCAGTCAACAAGATGGGCCGATCTCTCCGGAAAACCACACGGCCATCTGTTCCGATTACCGTGATGACGGACTGTGTCAGGGTTCATGTGAGGGCGTGTTGCATCAGCCAAGCGACAGTTTTGCATCTAGACCAGATGTGTCCTGGATGCTTTAGTCGAACCTCATACCTGAGCCCGCCGAAAGAAAAAATTGACTGAAATTACCGATGACAATGTGCACTTCGACATTAGACAGTCCGTTCGAGGACGAAACATCGCAAGGCTCATTATTGCGCCCCTAATTTCATTTGGACTAATTGGGTTTGGGACGTGGCTGTTACCAGAAGGAACAGTCCTTGAGCTACATATTGAAGCTGTAGAGACGTGGAATGTGTGGTCCTTTTTGGGTTTCATATGCATCGGTGGCGGGATTTATTGCCTGTTGAAGGAGGCAGTGTTCGCTGCGCGCGCGTACTCCACCACGGGTGAGTGGCATTTCCGTCTCACAGATCGTGACCTCTTATGGCATGTTCCAAATCACGCCCATGGGAAAGAAGAAGGATTTGAAGCTTCGCTGGAGGAAATCAAGCAGATAGAGTTCAGGACCATTCAAAAGCACGAAGATATTGATAAACGTGAATACTGGATCCATTTCCATTCTCGAGACTCAGTCAAGCTTCAATCATATTCAGGCATCAGTCTCTCGTGGCTCGTCGAGAAAATCAGCGCGACTGGAGTGCCCTACGAGGAAACATCTGAAAATTTCTAGGTGTCGTCTGCGGAAGGTGCCGCATACAATGCGATTGTTCCGGGGCAAAACCGGTTAACAACCGTTCCCACAGATGTTTCCCATGTCGGAAAGTCCGCGTTGCGGTTGTTGGTGCAGCGCGCGGCTTAAGCCGGCTCCAGGCTCAGAGCTGACATTCATTGCGCCTCTCGAAAATGTCGGGAGCAGGCCGTGAGAGCTAAATATCGTGCGCGACCGAACGGAAATCAGTGCAAAAAATCGGAACAAAATCTCACACGCATGAGGTGTAAGATTCTTTGAGGCTCACATGTCCTCATCCGAGAAACGAAGATTTCAACGATTTCAGGGAGATAACTGGTGCCGGCAGCAGGATTCGAACCCGCGACCCCGAGATTACAAATGTCATTCTCTGTCAATAAAATCAATAGCTTATAATTGATCATGGTCTCTGATAGTGCAAAAACTCACACGGAAACGGATGGGATAATCCCAATCTGATTTTGCGCACTTGTCGGTATCTGTTTTCCGTTCCTTTTGACGTGCTCAAGCGTTTTGCCCTTTACGATTTACCCAATAGAATGCGGAAAACCACTTCGCTTCAATTGGATAGTATGAGATGAAAAAAGAAGAAGCACTGCCAGTTGCAATTGAGCTGCTAAAAGAACGAAAAGCTGGATACTACGGCTATGACTATTTCCCTAATAGGATCGCTTGGAACGTCGCCAGAAATGAAACAAACGATGCCAGAGAGGAAGATCAGAAAACTCGTGAATACTACCCATTTTTCGCCGATGCTGGTTGGGTCCTTTGCCAACGGGGCATCCTTAGACCAGGTGTGAAAGATTACGGGGGGCAAGCAGTGCCGGAAGGCGGTTATTCGTTAACGCTCACTGGCGCAGATAAAGTTAAGGAGCTCG